ATATATATATTCAAGCTTGTAGTTTTTCAGCATAAGATGGTTTAAAGCTCTGGTAGTGAAAGGTGGCGGGCGATATGCATGAGGAAAGACAAATTAAAAAATAAAAATATGCCAAAGTCGTGAAACATCCCCTTTAATTTAGGTTCCTTTAAATGAAGTCTAATAAAATACAAGTCAGTTTTAATAACACAGCTGTATTTTTATTTTACGTTTCCTTGTGATGTGTTGCTGATTGGGTCGGTGCGCTGCGCGTGCAGCCTGCGCGCGCGCCTCTCCTCTGTAGTAAGCAGCGGGACAGTCCGCAGTTCGCTCATCCCGCTTCACGTCCGCATTCATCCACTCAGCCTGTCTTTCTTCGAGCTTTTAGGCGTGCGTGAGGGGGACTGTTGTGCACGGATGGCTAAACGACACTGTCCATGTGATCGCTTCTGAACCAGAGGGTTTTTCTTCTTCCTCCTCCTCCTCATCATCATCTCTTCCAGACTCATTTTCATCACGATGAGGGACGCGCGATCAGAGCTCCGCAGAGAGCTCCGTCCAGCCCTATCCGCTTAACCAAAGGGGGATCCCTGCTCTCTTTTCATCCTCTGCTCCCTCAGAAACCACAGGAGTTTGCATGCAAAGGGTAGTCTACCTCGGCAAGGTGAGATTTCCCTTTTTTCACACCATTTTCTGCGTCCAACATGACTTTAAACTGAGTCCAAAGCGAATTCTGGTGCTGAATGTACAGTAGGTGGTGGACTGGGCTTTGGTGTTGAAGTAACAGGTATGCTGCAGTACTTAATTGAATCCGACATGTAAATTAACAGAGTTATCTTTAATTTTCTTACTCGTTTGATGCATTTAAATTGTAAAATTATCAGCTCTTTAACGCACTTCTGTGTCCAAATCAGGCAAATACAATTAAAATTTGCTCAAGCGTCCCCTCACTGTGGGTGAAATTGTCCTTTTCCTGATTAAAATCACCCTCCAACTTTTTTTTTTCTTTGAAGTGATTAATTGTTGGAAGAGTCTGCAAAGGGTGCAAATAGGGGTGATTCATCTGACAGGAAATATGAAAATGTTTTAAAAGTAAGTGAGCTATATGACAATCCCTGCCACACATGCTCCCTCTGTCTAAATAGTTTTAACAAACAGGTTTTCATGGTCTGCACACGGAGTGGTGCGCCAGCTGACCAAAACAAAGACAACTGGGCCAGACTAGAGAGCAAAGCCGTCTGTATTGACTGTTAACACAAAATCATTGATCGTATCTCACGCCATCAAAGAAATGTGATGAAAGGGATCGATATCGCTGGGCTGCAGACACAACCTGTCACGGTTTACCACTTTTGCTTCAATGCCGAAATCTGTTTTTTCTAATATCTTTTTTTTTTTTTTTTTTGTCGCTGTCTCACAACCTGTCTCTTTTGTTTTCCCAGCCATGGATGGACTTGCCTAAAGGAGAGCCAACATAGCCGAAAACTTTTAGATTATTTCCATCATTTTTCCTTTTTCTGTGTGGCATCCTCCCAGAAGTCTCCCCTTCTATCATCATGGCTGAAAAGATCGGAGCTGCTGGTCCTAAACCCAACAACGTCCGGTCTGCGCCCCCGCTCCCGCCCGAGCCTATAGACATCATCCGCACCAAAGCTCGCTCTCGCAGAGTTCGCCTTAACGTAGGGGGGCTGAACCATGACGTCCTGTGGCGAACCCTGGATCGGTTACCCAGGACCCGGCTTGGTAAGCTTAGAGACTGCAACACCCATGAGTCCCTGATGGAGATCTGCGACGACTACAGCCTGAACGAGAACGAGTACTTCTTCGATCGGCACCCGGGTGCCTTCACCTCCATCCTAAACTTTTACCGCACGGGCAAGTTGCACATGATGGAGGAGATGTGCGCCCTCTCCTTTGGCCAGGAGTTGGACTACTGGGGGATTGACGAGATCTACCTGGAGTCGTGCTGCCAGGCTCGATACCACCAGAAGAAAGAGCAGATGAACGAGGAGCTGCGGAGGGAGGCCGAGACAATGAGGGAGAGGGAGGGGGAGGGAGAGTTTGATAACACCTGCTGCCCAGATAAGAGGAAGAAACTGTGGGATCTCCTGGAGAAGCCCAGCTCCTCTGTGGCTGCCAAGGTAGGAATCTGCAAATGGAAGCGAGATTGCACCCTCTCGATCTCACATTTCCCGCTCGCAATCATAGCTCAACACGCTCCGGTTGCATAATAACACATCGCAGGCATGCTTGTTAAAGAACAACTCCCACATGAACTGTAAAACATGAGTTCATCAGCCAGTAGCAGTAGTTGTTAAGGGTTGACTATCAAGATATTCACGAGTGCAACGACAGGAAATCGAATATAAGACATATGTGAGAAGAAATGAAAACAAAAAGCATTGAAGACAATATCTGGTGGTGTTTTAGGTTTATATGTTGCTATGCTATCTAAAACTCCTTTTCTTCCCTTATATGATTCCAGCTCTGACTCAGTCTGAGACATGTCACCCTTGATGAAATCCAGTTACTGACAGTTTACATTGTTGTCCAGGGTCCTTATCTCTTTTCCGCGCAGTGCTGGGATTGTATTCCATATCTGCAAAAAAATAATAAAACACCAAGCGTTTTATCTGTGATTGAAATCACATCATCTCTGAGTGATAAACACAGCTCTTGGTGTCCTGTTCATGTGTGATGGTGAATCATCCGTAACCCTTTCCACTTTAAAGATTGTGTTATTGCTTGGAAAATGAGCTGGATTCAATCGCAAACCAAATGGTGCTCAAATATTATTATGCAGTTAACATTTTAAGAGCAGAACAACAGTAATGGGTCTAATGGCATGGGTTTCATCTCTGGTATTGGCTATTACATGCCATTTTCCTCCTTCCTGTAAGATTGGTTTGATTTCCATTAATCAGCCAGTAATGACAATTGACAAGGATCGTGCTTTAGCTTGAAATTTGCATTCATCCATTAAAGGGAAGCTGTGTACCATATGAATTAATTAGATAAAGACTGCCAATACTTAATTTAAGGCAAGCTCATGCAGCAGCAGTTGAGTAATTTGGTATGCTGCCATTGTGTGAGATTCAAAGTGATTGACTCTTCAATACACTTCTGTTTGACTCCGGACACATCTCACTGACCTGTGCACTGTCATGAGGGGGAAACGCTTGATTCATTAAAGGAAAATTCTGTTCTGGGTTTATTTGCATTAACAGTCCGCTGACGGCCCTGTGAGAACTTGACCAAGACTCTGATAGTTCAGTTTATTACAAGCAAAAGAACAGTGCAGCGCACTATGGTTGCTGGACTATCTTATGCCAGCTTTCTGAGGTCAGGGAAGCCTTTTTACTTGGCACACATCATAGTGATTTATTTTGAAATTCCTCAACTAAAGAAATACCATTACTAAGCTGGTGCACAACCATATGCTTTCATACAAGGTCACCTAAGCTATTTGTCAAATGCAATCGGTCTTGTGGCACCGACACATCCCCCTTCACTGTCTTCTTTCCATTCTCCTTTCTATTACAAAGACTTCATCAGTTGTTAGAGCTGGCTTCGCTGCTTTATGCCACCTACGGCCCTTGTGGCCACATATGAAGGTTAAGCATGAAAGAGCTGACCTTTTCAACAGGGTCAATTTAATTTAAGGTGCACATGCCTTTGGAGTGTGGACTAAAAAGACAAAAACTCAGCGGACGTTGATGGCTAAAAGCCACAAGTGACGCAGAAGAGGAACCAGAAAAGAACTTGGCAAAAGAAAGGCTTGAGAGACGTAACGAGTGCAGTCATGTAACTTGGGTCCAGTTTGCTGAGCTTGACGTTTGCAAACCTTTTCCAGTGAATTATGAATGAAATGGGCAAAGCTGCACAGGCTTCGTTGTGTTTTCGTGTAAATTGTGGTTGAGTGCTTCATTTTGGGAGGAAAAAGGGGGAGCAGAGAGATTATTGTCTAGTAGACTGGTTTGTTGTTAATTAGAGTTAAAGGGGAAAAAATAGAAGCTTGTCAAACTTGGAGACATGTTTTTGTTAAAAAGATCAGGGATGCCCCAGTGGTAAATTGTTGAGTGCATGCGAACAATTATGCACCATTTTTACTGGCTTCCTGGAGAAATTGCATAGTTTTGTGGGTCCTGCTTCCACAAAATCTGCACAGTCTGTTCACAGATTAAGGAAGGCTGGAAGTTTGATTAGTTGTAACATTTTGGCCCCCGACAGGTATAGTAAATCTTAACTTCTAACCTACAAAGCCCCCCAACAACCTAGCTCCATCTTATATTACAGATCTTATTGTACCGTATTTTCCCAATAGAGTACTTCGTTCTCAGACTGCGGGTTTACTTGCAGTTTCTAGGGTTTCCAAGAACAGAATGTGAGGAAGATCTTTCAGGCTTCTCTCTTGTGGAACCAACTTCCAGTTTCTGTCCGTGAGGCTGACACATTGTCCAGTTTTAAGACTTTCCGTTTTATAAATCCTTTAGTTAGGGTTGGCTTGAGGACAAGTTTACCTCGTTTCTTAAAATAAATTGTTAAAATTTAAGTTTTCATTTGATATTATGTATCTTAACATGTGATTCTCGACCTGCCATTGTGTGTCTGTTCCTATTAAACCCAGCCATTCAAAGCAGATGGCCTCTTGTCCTGAGCCTGGTTCTGTTAAAGGTTTCTTCTTCATGAGGGAGTTTTTCCTTTCCACTGTCGCCTTCATGCTTGCTCAAGATGACAGTCGGTGATGAAGTTAAACTCGAGGCAGTCTGCTCCTCAGATAATTTATGTTATTATAATTTTATACAGTATATGACTATTTGTTCAGTGCCCTAAGATGACTTCTGTTGTGACTTGGTGCTACATAAATAAACAGAATTGAATTTAATTGAACTAAATATCACAGCTTGACTTTGTTCATGTGGTCATCAAACTACCCAGATGCCAAACAAATGGAGTCGTGTGGCGTCTATGGGAAACAAGCTCTGTCCACAGACCCAACCTCACATTCTACAGAATATTTTCTTAATATGTACACATCTTTCAGGGCTCCACAAAATGATCTATTTTTATACCATGTGACGCCTTCACACACATCCTCAAGCACCACAGGTGTAGTATTTGTGATTAGACGTTGGGATGGAAATGCAGATTTGGTCAATAGGTGCTGAATTTCATGCACAAGCTATTCCTAGTTCGAAGGGCTGAACTTCTTGGCTCAGACATTTAAAATGAGAAGCCTTTGTCTTTATAGTTTTAATTTAGTTTGCATTGTTTGGTAAAATTTCATATGAGTTATGTATTTTTTTGCTTGGAAGAAAGCGCTGGTATTCAGTCTGACAGAGCTGAGAACGTTTTTGTTTACAATGAGTCACAAGTGTAGCTAAACGGCAAACACATTTAGCACAGGCTCACTGAAGTTCCTGTTCAATATAAATTTTAAATATAAAAGCCCTTCAACATGTTTCCTGTGAATGAATTTATATCTAATCCAAAGATGGAGTTCGGTGTGTGCAGCTGTACCTTGAAGCTTGTGTTTTAGCCAGTTTGTCAAAGTGTACTTTACTGTCTGAAATGATTTGTGTGTGTGTGGGTGTGCATATAAATAATGATGAAATGTTTTCTACCTGGCAAGTGAGAGCTTTAAAGGGACAATTCAGATATTTTAAAGTGGGATTTTATGTTACGGTCATGGGCATATGGAACATGGAATATATTTTTTTCCTGACTGAAATGACAAGTTAATGGTTAGACTGAGTTGGAATAAGACAAAAGTGGGTTAAACAATCCAGTTTCAAATATTTCCTAGCAGTTAATATAAACATAGATTTACAAACTTTAACACCTTTGCCAATTTGGCAATATTTCTCAGAAAAATATTATAATATTCCTGTGGGAAATTGCCAAGTCTGCACAAAAATTGCTCCAACTAGCTGTTTGTTCTTGCAAATGTTTTATAGAATTAACAAATAAGGTTGAATCATGTCATCTGGACTTCGTTTTTTTGTTAAAAAATAAACGTTTCGCCCCTCGTCCAAGAGGCTTCGTCAGTCTGAGGCCTAGCCATCTGGTATTACCCAGAAGCCACCCTGACTCTTGTGTTTCAAGCCTGCCTCAGATACCCCTGAAGTCTGG